TAGTCACCTCCGCGGTAATCACACAGGAAGTTGGTCATTGTAAGGACAGCCAGCTCTTACGTGTCCGACTCCGATCCGCACCGACGTCGCCTCCAAATTAAATGCACATAAATACCCGCTCCGCCTCATTCACGCCCCCGACACGCCCATCTCCCTATCGATTCTCCTCCAATCGATCAAAACGCCCGAACCACCGTCGTCATTCCAGCGCCCATGTATGAAAAAAATCGCCGACCTCGAAAATAAATCCTGTGAACTTTGTTGAACAGCGCGGGAAATGCTATACGGTCTCTCGTGTGAACTCCCACGCGCGTGAACTCTAAATGAAATGTTCATCAGCCATGGTTCATGCAGAGTCTATCTTTTATGTATCTATCATCTTATAACTCTTATAACTTTCCTCTTATTGTCGTATCTATCATCTATATTCATCCCTCAATATTTATCTTTCATCTGTTTATTTATCATCTACATCTATCTATCATATACATCTATCATCTATGTTTATCTATTCAATTTTGCAACTCTTATACTTATCCATTCGTTCATTCACTAACAAGCAAGCACAGCATCTAAAGGCTTGCAAGAAACGTCGCACGCGCTCTGACGTCACGTGAGATGCGTTGCAATCATGGCGAGCGCGAACGATCTGCATTCAGTGCCCGTGTTGCAATTGGCGAGCGGCCGAATCGCGTTCACGAAAGGGCCTCGGCGAAGGGAGATGTTCGTCGCGAATAAATACAAAAGAAAAAGACAGAGAAAGAGAAAGAGAAAAAACTGAATAAAAGGCGAACGAGACCGATGTTCGGACAAGTGATTTTGGCTTCGAATTCCACGTAAAGAAAAAGAAAAAGAAATGAGAGAAAAAGAAAAGAAAAAGAAAAAAAGAGCAACCCATAAAGAAAAAGAAAAAAGAGCAACCCATAAAGAAAAAGAAAAAACGGAGAAAAAGAAAAAGAAGAAGAACAAGAAAAAAGAAAATGCGATTAACAAGACATTTTCGAAGAGACCGGACGACACGAGGGCGAGAACAGGACGAGGGCGAGGACGAGGACGACACGACGAGGACGACGTCAAGAGCGGCGATGCAGGCAGGACATTAAGGTTCTTATCCTCGTCGGCGTCTCCCACGATAAAGTTTTTATTGACCTATTGTTCCCCTCGGGTCACGACTCCCCGGGCCAGAGGGGGGGGAAGGGGGAAGGGGGAGGGGGAAAGGAGGAGGGGGAAAGGGGAGGGATCAGGAGGGGAATGGGAGAGGAAAGAGGAGGAGGGGGAGATGGAGTGGGGGTGGGGGAGGAGGAGGAGGAGGAGGAGGAGGAGGAGGAGAGGGAGTGGGGGGGAGGAAGAGGAGAAGAGGAGGAGGGGAAGAGGGGGAGGGAAGAGTAAAAGGAGGAGGAGGAAGGGGAAGGAGAAAGAAAAGGGGGCGAGAGCAGGAGGGGTTAAGAGGAAGAGGAAGAGGAGAAGGAAAGAGAGAAAGAAGATAATGAGGGGGAAGAGAGAAGGAGAGGGAAGAAGAGGCGAAGAGGAAGAGGGTAGGGGGCGAACAGAAGGTCGTGACCTCCGCTAACCTCACCTTCCTCCATACAAAAGCCACCCGCCAATCTATAAAGGGAGCGCACGAACCAACACACCCAAAAACATGAAGGCACATACACCACGCGCGTATGTGGGTGAATGATCGTATACACAGGATTCTTAGACAGACACACAGTCACACAATCTCTCCCTCTCCCTCTCTCCCATTCTCCCTCTCTCTCCCCCCTCCCTCTCTCCCATTCTCCCTCTCTCTCCCCTCTCCCTCCCTCCTTTACTACCCCCCTCTACCTCCCTCTCTCTCTCCCTCTCACACACAAACGAAAATACGCACAAACATACAGGCCATACCTCAAGCGACTCAAAACCAAGAGCTTTTCAGCGCCCACCCCGGAACCCCAACGATGCCTAGTGATTTTTTCCTACATAGACCTACAGAGTAATTGTAAGAATAATAGTAATAGCATGAGCGATAATAATAAATTCATAACAATATGATAAAGTAATAATAAAACTAGCATTAATAATAATGGTGATATTAACAATAATAAGGAAACGAGACAGAGAGAGAGAGAGAGAGAGAGAGAGAGAGAGAGAGAGAGAGAGAGAGAGAGAGAGAGAGAGAGAGAGAGAGAGAAAGAGAGAGAGAGAAGAGAGAGAGAGAAAGAGAGAGAGAGAGAGAGAGAAGAGAGAGAGAGAGAGAGAAAGAGAGAGTGAGAGTGAGAGTGAGAGAGAGAGAGAGAGAGAGAGAGAGAGAGAGAGAGAGAGAGAGAGAGAGAGAGAGAGAGAGAAAGAAGAAGAAGAGAAAGAAAAGAGAAAGTAAGAGAGGAGAGAAAAACAGAAAGAAAAACACACACCAATAATCCCAACACTATTTGCTCTTCACAACGAAGACCAAAGGCTACTCACCATATGCCGGGCTCTAACCGAATCACAACCTTCTCGGGAAGAACAAATCTGTGACCTGAAAAGAGAGAAAAAAAAAATGATTAGGATCCGATTCCAAATTTTCAAAAAAAAAAAAAAAAGGAAAAAAATAAAGAAGAAATATCGTTTTCTTCTGATATATAAAAATATAGACATATCGAAGTTTAAACCAAAGAAAAGCGAAATGTTATAGATGCGTAAAAATAGGCCTACACATAGTATTAAAAAAAAAACGAACTTTCCCGTGTAAAAAAAAGACAATAAAGGGGGGGGGAGGTCAGACACTAACAAGGCACGAAGGAAGGGAAGGATAAAGGAGGAGATGGAAGGAAGCAAAGGGGAATGGGGGAGGGGGGGAGGGGGGAGGCCAGTATCACGTAGAAACTATTACGACCCGATCGCTAGCACTTCCGGCGCGGCATTCATCAAGAGCGTCTCCCACAGGGGAATGTGCCAGGCTCGTTGGCGAAGGGCGGAGAAATGGCAAAATGGATTAAAAGAACGAATAAAAGCATAAAGAAAAATGAGAAGAGAGATAATCAATTGGGGAAAAAACAACAACAGGATACATGTTCATCAACCTTGTTCAGCAAATGAGGAGAGAAAAGCACTGAAATAAAAAAGGCAACCGATTATATGTTAACCAAACTCCTTTTCAGCAAACGAACAAAGTGAATACAAGTAAATAAACAAAGCAAAAGGAGTGTGGAAAGAGGGATGAGGAGGAGGAGGAGGAGGAGATAGAAGAAAAATAAGAAGAGGAAGAAAAATAAGAAGACAGGCGAAAACGAAGAAAGCAAAAGACAAACAGGAAGAAACAAGACGCCAAAATAAAGCGAACAACGGAAGCGCCACAACGAAAGCACAACAAATGCAAAAATAGAGAAACCACTTAACGAGAGGTTCACCAACATGGGTTTCTAAAGTGAACAAAAAAAAAAAAAAAAGGAAACACATGATACTGCTTCAAAGAGAGCGGGAAAGAGAGAAAAGATAATAATAAATCTCGCTGAACCAGAACGACACAATTTTCTTGAAGGAAAACGAGACAAAAATTTGAAGCAATTACGCCACCCTCGTTCTTGGACGTAATAAAAATACCTTTTACGGACAATTTCACTTAAAACAAAATAAAAAACTATGATGTGGTAGTAAGAGTAATACCAATAACAATCAATAACGATGATGATGATGATAGAGATGATAATAACAACAATAATGCTGATAAATTGATAACGACAATCATAATTGACAAATTAAATAATCACGTTCCTCTTCTTACATCTTCTGTTCTCCCCCCCCCCTTCGCCCCCCTCCCCCCCTTCGCCTCCTCTTACTCCTAACTCTTCTTACTACTTCAATGACTACTTCATCTTTCTCTCCTCTTCCTCTCCGTTCTTCTCCTTCCCTTTCTTTGATCTTTCCGTTCCCCTCCGTTCGCAAATTCGTGACCCTCCTCCTTCGGGCCCTCAGAGGCGGACGCACGCACGCACGCACGACGCCCACGGACAAGCGTCGTCACGAAACTCACGAATTTCACGGCCTCGTCTCTCCTCGCCCGTCAACGCATGCCAATTACGAATTAGTGAGGAGGAATAGGAGGAGGAGGAATAGGAGGAGGAGGAAAAGGAGAGAGAGGAAGGAGGAAGAGGAGGAGGAGGAGGAAAAGGAGAGAGAGGAGGGAAGAGGAGGAGGAAGAGAGGAGGAGAAAAATAGGATGATGAAAAACAGAGAAGAAAGGAGGAGGAGGAAGATAAAAAAGAGAAAAAATAAACACAAAGAAAGAACGAGAACGCGGAGGAGGAAACGAACTCAAAGAGAACGAGAAGACGGAAGATGGAAGAGGAAGAGGGCGAAAAAAGAGGAACTTTAAAGACCTCTCTCGCCCCCCCCCATTCCTCAACAGAACACGACGTAGAAATCGGCAGCCATTCAGGAGCAACGACGCAGACACACACACACTCTTTACTCTCGTTCTCCGCTCTAATTTCATTCATCTATCTCCACGACCACAACCTGAGGATCCCGCTCTCGTTAAAATCCATTCCCACCACAATAATAAACAGAATAAAACAAAACAACGATTCGATGGCAGTCGCATAAAAGCTTCCGTAATTATATCACAAAAAATAAAAATAAAACATGAACGCGTCTGACGTATGGCAACACCGCGCCTACACCTGTTGCCCTCAGTCACGTCCACGTAATGTCGAGCGGCAACATTAATTTTCCGGAATATTACGTGACAGCCACCACGCCGATATCTACAATACCGAGAAAGAGAGAGAGAGAGAGAGAGAGAGAGAGAGAGAGAGAGAGAGAGAGAGAGAGAGAGAGAGAGAGAGAGAGAGAGAGAGAGAGAGAGAGAGAGAGAGAGAACGTAATGATGATAATAAAGACAACAATAACACCACCATTCATTTGCTACGTTGTCTCTAGAGTGACAACGCAGCCATTTTTTTCTACAACGAATAGCTCTTATCGTCCCGCAGTTGAATGATGTAACAACAAAGTAACAACAGAGCCAGCCCTTATTGTCTCCAGCTGTGAAGGTCGCGTCCATACGACTTCCTGCAGCGTGGAACCTGCCCATAGCAAGGCGCAGCTCCCTGTCCAGAACGGCAATTTACTGTTTGATCTTTAAATGCGCATTACTTTGTGTTAAGATTCGAAGATGGAAGGGCCGTTTCTCTGAACTTAGGACAAAAGTCCATTTTTTTTATTTAACAGAAGAGGTATTTTTCAGCTCTAAAAGAGACGGAGGAAAGGGAAGACGAAGAATAAAGTGTCGACTGCGTCTGATCCGACCGACCGACGCGGAACTAAGCAAACGTCCTCCATGTTGTCCTAATGTTCCTCGTGACAGAATGAGCGAAGTGATGCTGTAACTTCAGGAATCGACATTTTGGAAAATACAGAAACCACGGCAAAGGTCCGCTATCTTAAAGAACGCTCTGTGCTATCAGTTCCTACAAAGCAGTACTTGGGGGACGGGAAGGCTACAGCAGGGTTCAGTCAGCCGCTGCGCCGTCCACACAGCTGACGGCACCATCCAGGCTGACACCCTGCTCCGGACGACCACCAGCCTTCGGGTTACGCTCCACAGGAACGCCTCAAACACCTGACGACCCCCCCCCACACACACACACACACGGACGCAGACGCCGATCACCCACGCCCGGTCCTCTTCCCTGAATCGGGAGAATGCACCACACGGCTGGCGTCCGATGCGCCGCCGACGCCGCTCAAGACGCATCGCTCCTCCGACGCAAACCGACCTGGGAAGACTTCCGGTGCTCTTGGATGGCAGTGACGTCAGCAAGCCGGCGGGTCGTTGTTCCTGCGCCCACGGGATCGTCGCGAACGAACGAACGACCAGGGTACAAAGAGCTCCTGGGGGAACGGGCGGGGGAACGGGAGGCGGTGAGAACACGGAACCACGGAATGCTCGCACTCGACGAAGAATTGGACGGTCGGAATGCCTCTTCCTCCTCTCCTCCTTTTGGTTTGCTTTTCCCCTCGTTTCTCTCCTTTTAGTCAACTTCTCCCTTCGCTTCGCTTCTTTTAGCGGCTCATCTTCCTCTCTTTTGACCTCTTCTTTCTTTCTCCCATTCGCCTCTATTTTGGTCCCTCTCTCTCCCACCCACTCGAAGGCAGACCTTACTTCACGACGTCCCAACCACACCTTTAATATCACCTTTAATACAGGAAGAAAAAACAAGCTTCTTTCAGACCCCTTCTCGTCAAAAACAAACTAAAAAAAGGCTCTAAATTGCCAGCTGATGCACGAACTCCTCCCAAGTGAAGCTAAACGGCCGGACACCGCCACCCGCCGAACGCGCCCCGCCGCCAGCAACCGTCGGGCTTCACTCCGCGGCAACAGATGTGTAATTGCTACGAGCCCGAGCGTGAGGCGGTCGCTTGCGGCGTCGGCGATTTGGGCTCTTTTATGCTGGCTCTTGGCTTTGGCTCTGGGCGTCGACGTGGCTACCCGCCTCGACCGGGCCCCCCCGGGAAAAAACAAGCTTCTTTCAGACCCCTTCTCGTCAAAAACAAACTAAAAAAAGGCTCTAAATTGCCAGCTGATGCACGAACTCCTCCCAAGTGAAGCTAAACGGCCGGACACCGCCACCCGCCGAACGCGCCCCGCCGCCAGCAACCGTCGGGCTTCACTCCGCGGCAACAGATGTGTAATTGCTACGAGCCCGAGCGTGAGGCGGTCGCTGCGGCGTCGGCGATTTGGGCTCTTTTATGCTGGCTCTTGGCTTGGCTCTTGGCGTCGACGTGGCTACCCGCTCGACCGGCCGCGCACCGTCGGGCTACGGATATACCGCCGAATCGATCTCCTCCTCCTTCCCCCTTCGTCTTCCCCTCTTCCTCATTCTCTTCTTCCTCTTCTCTCCCTTTCCCGTTCTCCTCTCTCCTCTTTGCCATCTTCCTTTTATTCCCTCTGTTCTTCCTCCTCATTTTCCCATTTTTTCTTCCTTTCCTTCTCTTCTTCCCTTCCCTCTCTTCCAATCCTCTCCCCCCCCCTCATGCGGAAATAAAATCGAGGAAAAAGCAAATAAACAATCACAATTCGTTATTTCAAGCTTTCTCGTCGCGTCGCTTTCCAGATGATGAACCGCAGAGCCAAAATGATGGCTCTAAACACCTGCGCGATAAATGCCTTAACGAGAGCGACCTGCTGGCAAACGACGCGATTACATAAAACTACCGCAAATCTATCGAAGTCTACAACCTGGCTTAATTTACGTTAGTCCGAAGTGGCTCTCCCTCCACCGCGGGAAGCCGATCGGGACGCCATTAAGAGAGGGAGAGAAAAAAAAAAAAACGAAAAATACATAATTGCAGAGACAGTTGACAAGTATCACGTGTTGACAAGGGGTAAACACGCCCCCACAAGATAGCCCCCCCCCACTAGGGCACAGCCAATCAGAACGAGGGACCCTGCCTACTGACTCTCCTCCTCCTCCTCCTCCTCCTCCTCCTCCTCCTCCTCCTCCTCCTCCTCCTCACCTCCCCCCCCAACACTAT